AATTGCTCTAATCTGGTCAACAGTGATTAAACAATTAAGAACATTTTCAATTACCTCCATTTACCTTTAATTAAATTTACCTGTAAGAAACTTACATATTCTAAGAACCCAAGAGTGAAAAAAAAAGGCGAATGTGTTAAATTTCTCAACCACACTACATCTGCCATATTCAGTGCCGACCTGGCGTTTTACCCAATTGTTTGTTTGACGTTAAGCACAAAGCTACACAATGAACGATCTGCGTTCTGTCACCACGAGTATCAAAACCCGATTTCTAGCGTTGTAACTTCGCAGACATACCGCTATACTAGTGGGATACGTTTTGCCTAATATCAGGGCTCATGTAACGGGCACTAACCACAAAAATCCTTAAAACTACAAGGGATAATTTCAAACATATCTCATAATGACTCAAATGAACAATAAATTTGTCAGCCTTGCGCCCATGGCTTTCCAGTAATTTAGGTCTCTAACCTGGCCGTTTAACCTGTGTGCAACATAGAACGATGTTCAGATTGAAAATATCTAATATCAGCCTCTTTCTTATGGCAGTTTTCTTTTTCGTTAGTTCAAATCTATAGAAATAACATTCGATTATTATATGGTTGAGTTTTAATGTAAAGAATATAAAACTGGTAGTTATCTTAAACATTAAAAAAATTTAAAGCCGGCTTTAAAACAGAATTAATTCGAGGAAGGACGATCTCAATTCCACTAGAAATATCAGTTATTTTGTACAAAAATACCTGCAATAACTTTGCATCCTCAAAAAACGTTGTTCAAACATAAACATTTGTCTGAAAAAATATAAATTTGAAAATAATCATTTACAAGTAAGGTGTATGTGAATGTTAAATCTTTTTCCTGTTGTTAAAAACAGTTTTCAAGTTATTTTAAGTACAGTAATACTAATAGTAGGGATCGACAAGGATTCCAAACAATTCACGCGCCGAAAAACCACCCTATCGAAATCCTAAGCGAAAAATCGACCATTCAAAGTATTGGTTGCGATATATATAGTAATGCGCATATATACTAATAATACGCTAAAAAGGTCGCTAAAGTTTCCGATATATCAATTCAAAAATTTCTAAAACAGTAACGTTTTCGTCTACTACCTACCTACTTGATCACGTCAGCGGGGCTAGCGCCTAGACCGCTCGGACTATCGCTACAAGATTTCTCAAACTTACTTGACTGGTCTGTGGGTATCCACTTTTGATATTCCGATAAAAATTTGTTTATGTAAGGGTATAATATAAATGGTAAACATATCATGCACGTACTTAAATATCTTTTTAACCCAATTCAACCCAACGAATGGCACTACATATCAATGGATAGACACGCGACAGTTTCTAAATGTAAAATATATACATTATACATGTATAACATAAAAGTAAACAAACAAGATTATTAAAAAATTCGAATTTTAAATTGTAGGGATCGTGCTATAAAAGTAATGAAACAATAATTGAAACCACAATCACAAATTTATAAAATTTAATCCCTACTTTGACAGCTTTATACACTTATCTGTAGGCCAAAGTAAAGATTAAATTTTATAAATTTGCGATTGTGGTTTTAATTCTTGTTTCATTACTTTTTAAAGCAA